GCACACACATAAACATACATACCCCCCTACCACCATCATCACATTCACAAAAAAAAGGAGAGAGAGGGAAGGGTACAGGGAGGGAGGAAAAGAGGGAGGGGGAGAGAGAGAAAAAAGAGAGAGAGAGAATGAATGAATGAATGAGAACTCTTTCATCCACTCGCTCACTTCCCAAATGTCCTCATAAGCCAGGCCTGGGCCATGCCAAAGCCAGGAGCCAGGAACTCCATCCTGATTTCTGCATGGATGGCAAGGGCCCAAGTATGTGTGCCATCTTCCACTGCCTTCCCAGGCACATAAACAGGAAGTTGGATAGGAAGTGGAGTAGCTGGGACTTGAACCAGCTCTCCCATATGGGATGCTGGTATCACAAGCTATGGCATAACCTGCTGTGCCACAACACCGGCCCCTCAAAAGGTATTCTTACTGTACTAGTCAGTTAGGAAATAACAAGGGGTACAGAAGCTGTAAGCCAGGAATTGTTAATGACAACCAAGTATGTGTGTATATATACACACACACACACACACACACACACACACACACATACATATATCATAATATCATAGCTTGCATGCCTGCAAAACTCCTGGAAGACAGTGCAGGACTGTGTGAACTGTGCTGGGCCCAGAACAGCAAGAGGGGGCTTGCACGTTGAGCTCTTCGGCGCTGAACAGCTTGCGTGTTTTAGGTGTGCATGATGCTACTGGCAGAACTAGACAGGCTCTGTGAAAAGGTTAATACAGGTTTCCTTCAGGGCAGAATATGAGTCACCCAGGCCCAGGAGATACAAGTCCAACAACTGGTAATGAGTCTTGGGAAGTGTTCCAAAGTGCTTGAATTCTATTCAGAACTTGTGTATTCCATGATAATACGTTTTCATTTATCATTACACAATGAGCACACATTGGCTTGGTGCAAAAAAAAAAAAAAGGGGGGGGGGTGTTTTAGGTAAGTGGAATGAATTTCTCAGAGTGGAGCTTCTTTTAGAATGTGGTTGCTACAGACATCTTCAGAGATGCCTCCGAAGTCCTGATTAATTTAAGGAGTAGAGAAGACCATGCAGATAAAGAGCAAAGGTTTGTACAGTGTTGCACCAGCTGGCTAGGATGAAGCAGATGCAACGTGTACGTCACCCTTGTCAAATTGACTGGGTGGCTAACGGCTCTGCCTGAGGTGCCTCACGGGTCTCAGATGTTTCTCTTGAATGCCTTTCTGGCTTTTCAGACACAATCTGTCCTCACTACCCTTCAGTGTAAGTAGCATGCTGGGTAACTGTCCAGGGCATCTTTTGCCCTAGAAGGGGAGTTACTGTCCCCCACAGAATTTTAAGGAGTTTGTTGGTAGGACATCAAGGTTCATTTCTGGGAGCCTTTATAACACTTTTCCTATAGTCTGTATTCAAAACTGTGGCCTGAGCATGAGTAAAGTCTCAAACAATTAGTGATGGAGATGAGAGTAGTAGTTAAGGGCCCTTCACAGTCCTTCAACAATTACCCTGGAGGACAGAATCTGCCCCACCCTCCACCCCTGTTAACCACCACAGCCCTCCCTCCAGGAGGGAGCCAGTGCCAAGAGGAAGGAAAACATCCAAGCCTATATTTATTTTACCTCAACAAAGGTTTATTTTAAATTTTATAAAATTTATTTGAGTGGCAGAGGGACAGAAAGTGATAGAGACAGAAGTCTCCCATACAGGTTTTACTCCCCAAATGCCTACACTGTGTGGGGGCTGCACCAAATGGAAGCCAGGAGCCAGGAATTCAATCCAGGTCTCCCATGTGGGTGGCAGGAGCCCAACCACCTGAGCCATCACCTGCTTCCTTCTAGGGTGCACATTAGCAGGGAGCTGGAGTGGAGAATGGGGTCAGAACTCAGTATTACACGCCTGGCCGGTGCCGTGGCTCAAGAGGCTAATCCTCCGCCTGCAATGCCAGCACCCCGGGTTCTAGTCCCGGTTGGGGTGCCGGATTCTGTCCCAGTTGCTCCTCTTCCAGTCCAGCTCTGCTGTGGCCAGGGAGTGCAGTGGAGGATGGCCCAGGTGCTTGGGCCCTGCACCTGCATGGGAGACCAGGAGAAGCACCTGGCTCCTGACTTCGGATCAGCTCAGTGCAGCAGCTGCAGTGGCCATTGCAGGGTGAACCAACAGAAAAGGAAGACCTTTCTCTCTCTCTTTCTCCTCTCTATCAACTCTGCCTCTCAAAAAAACAAACAAACAAACAAACAAAAAAAAAAACAAAAAAAACACCCCTGATATGGAACGTGGGTATTTGAAGTGGCATCTTAATGGCGACACCAAACATCACCCCTCTCCCCCCAACACATACTTACTCATAGAACTTGTAGTCTAACACTTATTACTAAAAGGGAGAAAAGTATAATTTCTTTTTTAACATTCTAAGTTCTGAGCGATTCCTGTTAGCAGAAGGCAGGTTAACAAGAGAAAAACACAACCGAGTTTACTTTCTGTGCAGGTATGTCATGTGGGAGAGCCGTCCTTTTTCTTGGGAAGGTAATTCTCAACTTAGTGGCTAAAGAGCCTCATTTAAATAATATTTTAACAAACAGCAGTACATCCTCAGAGTGACAAGACAAAGATGCCATGAGTTGCAGGAGGTTTCCGGCTTCTGGAAGCCTCCGGGAAGGGGATAACGGCTCCTCCCGGTTCGTCTGGTGTCTGCTGGCAACATCTGTGTGCTGACAGCAGCTCCTGCACTGAGGGAGGATTTATGGCTGTGGCTTCAGGCAGGGACGTGGGGAAAATGTGGCTCCCTGTCCTCCCATTCAGCACGCAGGGAAAGGGGGAAAGGCAGAGAGACTTCCTCCTTCTTTTTTTGCCCCCTAAAGACCTAAGTCGGAAGTTTCTTAGGGTCAGTGGAATAGTCTAGACTCAAGCATTGCCTCCCAAGTTTGCCAACAGGGATAGGCAGAGTCCTGAGGCCATAGCTCTGCCCCCACGTCACATGCTCTTTAGATACTGGAGACAAGGTAGTCTGAAGTGGCCTAAGGAGCCATTGTCTGTAATCCTGCTTAACAGTGCTCTTGAACTCTGAGACCTGCTTCAGCCGCATTACCCACATCCTGGCTGTTACCCTGGGCAAGACAGAGGCACCACCCTTTGCCTCTGTCTTCAGATGCCAGTGGGGGAATAAGGGTCCTGGGGGTGGTGCACCTGACATATACCCATTCCTTGTCCATGGTCCATGTGGCAGACACTAGGTAGGGCTGGCATTTTAGTAATAAGCAATTAGGAGAGGGCAGAGGGGTTGGGTCGGGTTGTCTGGTGTGCTGTGACAGCAGGGAGGTCTGCACTGGTCACACTAGCTGCAGGTGCTGCCTCTTGGCTGTCTCTGTAGCTGTTGGGAGTTGTCTCCTTGGCCTTCTTGATCTTGGCTGTCCCAATAAATGCTTTGGAAGCTTCTTCATCATGTGACTCTGCTAAGATGTGTTCAAAGCTCTATCCAGGTTTAATCAGTTGTTTTTGAGCCTGGCAAAACCAAATTCCCAGGCAGCTCTGGAGAGGCCAGATAAGCCAGACAGAAGAGACCCAGGCTTTCCACTGGATCCACACAGCCACTGCTGGGTCCACATAGTAAATGTGGCACCCTGGCTTCCTGGTGACATTCACCCTGAGGTCTCAGAGGGACACAGAGTATGTGCACCAAGTAGGGGGCATGGGTGGTGAGCAAGCAGCCAGGGGGTGTCTCCTGGGTCTTGGTCAGGAGTCTCTACTTCTTGACAAGGGTGGCGCCCTGCCCATGCCTGCCGTCGGTCAGGACACGTTTGCTGCAGGGATTCGGGTGCCGCTGCCGTGCGTTGCGAACACTTGGTTCCAAGCACTCCTTATATTGACATCTCTAGGGACATTCTGCAGTATCAAAATGCCATGAAGTCTTGTAATTCACTCACGTTACAACTCATACAAGGGACTGCCTCTCCTCTATTTTGCCGAAACCAATCTGGTCTTCTTGATTTGTGGCTAATACAGAAAATGTTATCTTGTTAGAACAGTCTGATCTACTAATGTAAACAGCTTCTTTGGACACTGCTAAGTCCTCGTGAAAGGAACATCTGAACCTCAGCTCCCCATGCCTTCAGGGACAAATGGGATTTCTTCCACTCTCTACAGCACACTCAGCCCTCAACCAACCGGGGAGCAAAACTAGCTTTTTTAAAATTTGTATCTCTTTTGAACATGTGCAGATTTTTATTCTTGTCCTTGTTCCCTAAGCAATACAGTGTAACAACTATTCATGTAGCATTTACATTGTATAAGGTATTATAAATCATCTGGAGACGATTCCAAGTACATAGGATGTGCTATAGGTTATATGAAAATACTATACCATGTTAGATAATGGACTTGACTGAACTCAAAGATAGGGGCTCTTGAGGCTTGGTTGTTAAGATTTGTAAAATAATTTCAGAAAACCCTGACTCAAAGCAAAAATTTAGATTTCCACCTTATAATTATTAGTCAGAAACCCAATTCTGCCTGTCGGAAGCTGTGAAAGTCATTATTGCTACTGCACAGAGAACTACAAGTTACTCTCCAGAACATGTGGTAGGACTGCACTGCTCTGCTCCTTGAAAGTTAGGTGTGGCCAAGAACTTGCTTTGGACAGTGAAATTTTAACCTGTAAGTAACTGGCCGAGCCCTCTGCTATAGCAAGCAGGAATGTTGCCAGATGGTAGCTACTTTATCCCTGGGTGTCCCAGAGTGTAGGCAGCATGGGGTGGAGCTCCTAGCTCACCCGGATCCCCATATAATGCGAGCAGGAGAAAAGCCTGTGCTGTGTTAAGTGAGGCTGGAGTTAAGTTCAAGCACTCTGATCCACAGGAGTAAAAGCTGACTTGCAGTTCCTTCCCCAGGCACGTGGATTCCTCAGCCAGTTTAACCAAGTATGTAATCAGAAGGACAAAACAGAAAAAGCACTATCATCTCTCTCAAGATGAATTCCTATTATAAGTTTTCCTAACATTCCCCTTCTGCATTTCAGATGAAGATCTTTGACAAAAATAAAGATGGTCGGTTGGATCTTAATGACTTGGCAAGGTGAGTAGCATGGAAATGATGTCACAGATTCAAATACAGCTTCCTAGAGGTCTGATGACATCATAGCCTTCCATCTGAGACTGGAGATCCTGTTTCACCTGGAGTCCAAAAGAATAGGTGCATTTTACCAAAGAACATCATGGTTCTAACTCTCTTAAGGTAAAAGATCCATTTATGAAGATAATGAAAGCTCTTGCTCCCAAAATGTACAATGCACTTTTTTTAAAAAAAGAAATAAAATATTGTGGATGGATCATATGCAGACCCTGCCCTCAGAGACCAGATATTCAGTGTTGTGCATTTGGAAACCATGGCCTAAATAAATAAATAAATAAATAAATAAATAAATAAATCAAGTCTTGAATCCCATTCCCAGGCTGTGGGAGTGTTGAGCAATTAGTTCAGGTCACAGTAAAACACAGCTGGCCTCTGACCGTGCTCTCTGATTCTGGAGAGTTGGTGTATCTTCCATGGGTCCCCAAGTACCTGAACACTGGATGTGGAGGAGGCAGGCTGAGCACAGAAGTGGCCCAGTGACAGTGGAAATGCTGTTTGTGAGTCTGGTGTTGGGACACGTGATTGGTGTGTCAATATGTTTTGTCAAGGCTAGCTGACTCAAAGCACAAGCAGTTGTCTACAAAAAGGAAAGAGATTATGAGCTGATGGTTATTAGAGTTGAAACCATTGGGTCTAGAATATACAACTATAACCATAACCCATGTGAAGGAGCAACTGTACATCCCTGGTGCCTTGGGATTGGGCTGGATCACAGCTGCAAACTGGGCAGTGATGGGAGCGGCAATGACAGGCTGAAGGGCTGGGAGAGAGGAATTCCAAGGTGGAAAACAAGTTTTCAATGACAAGGGGCTAATGTGACCAGGTCACAAACAGTTGTTACCTTTGTTTCTTGGCATATGTTAGCCTGAGTCCAGAATCACCAAATCCTGTACCTGAAATCTCATTTGCAAGCGAACTCTCCAAGGCTGTGGAGGACATCTGTGACTCGGCACACTGGATAGCTTTCTCTTTGAGCACCTTGGAGCTGGGAGGCCGTCTGTGTGTCCTTAGCTGCTTTCCCAGGGCCTTTACCTAACCCATTATGTCTCATGTAATATGTATAGGACAACTATAAAGACTTAAATGGAAAATGGAGCAATACATATACCACTTAGGGTAACTTTGAAATAAATATTATGTCATTGAAATGTCCAGATAATTGGAAACTTGGGACTTAATGGGTTAATTTTGGCCCCTTTGATGAAGAAGAGGCACAGAGAAACCAGCCAAAGAAGGACAACATGTTTTCCCCAAAGGCACAGTGCAGACGGGATCCCAATCCTGCTCGTCTCACCTCTGCTGTCTGGATCCCACCTGGCTTTCTCAGCCCATCAAAGTCAAGGTCAGAGATCTGTGTAAGAGAAGCAATCCAGGAAGAAAACCCAAAATGTCTGAAAGACTCAGACAGAAATTTGATGGACTACAAGAGCTTTTAATTCCATTGTTCCCTCCACTAAAAGCACCCATCCACCTGATACCTTGGTTCCACTGTGCACTTCTCAGAGGTAGTGAGAGTTGAACAGCCGTGGACACCCTGGAAGGCTGGGATGTGCCACTGTCAGAAAATGTCAAAGCACAGCTGCCTTCCACTGTGTCAATCCTAATACTCACTTATTACTGAAATTAACTTGATAGTCAATATCACCCATTACTGTAATGCATAGACTATAACATCTAAAGGAAGAATAAAAGGAAATCAGTGAATAATACAAATATGTTACTGAGCAAGGCTTGCTGCTTATCGTGCACAGAAGTCAATCCAGTGCCATCAGCTTTTAAGCAAAGACTTTATTGCAGTATTGCCTGGCAAGGAGACAGGAGGCAAGGCTCGGATTTGTCTCTCTGAGATCTGGGTCTAGGGTGGGTTTTGTGGAGTAGAGGGACAAGCTGGTATGTGGAAGTGTTGGAGAGGCAAGTTCTGGTTGCTTGCATTCTGATTTAGCATTGGCTCTTCCTGGTCAAGGGAACCCTCGCTTCCAAAGGGGTTCTGGTAATCAAGGTCTGATCATGCCTGGCTTCTGTGATCTGCTGGGGAGGAAACATCGGTTCTGCATGTTGTTTGAGGTTAAAGGGAAGCTCCCCTGTGCATGCTCAGATTACATGACTTGCAGTTTTGGAATCAGACAGGAGCGGTTTGCCCTGAAATGTATAGTTTTCAGGATGCTAAGCCAAGTCTTTGCCGAGGAATCCTCCAGCTTCCCAGGGTACACTCCAGTCCTAGCCCAGCAGCCCAGTGCCCTCTTGTCCCATGCACTTAGTTGTATGCAGAGCACCTGAGGGCTCCAGGCAAGCTGATCTTCATTGGCTGGGAGAGCCCCACTCCACCTGCTGTTGACTGAGGAGGACCAGTTTGAGCTGGTTCTGCAAGGAGAGCCATATTTCAGGGTGTAAGTGCTTGGATACAACCACAGTGAAAACATAATGAAGTGATTAGATGCTCACAGCTGGTGTAGAATCACGTGAATATGGACGCTCAGATGCTGACTGAGCCAAGGCTGGCCCTTTGGCAGCTTGTGTATCAGGGGCTCAGTTGCTGCTGTTTATATGATTTTCTAAAATAATACGTTTGGTAGAGCTCCAAATGAAGCAAAGTACATTCATCTCTCAACTCAGTTCAGTATACCACATGGAAAGTTTATGTAATTAGTAAATTATGTATGTTTGGCAACAATACTGTGGGTTGTGTAAATAGTAAGTTTCGGATTCAAATAATTATAATTAAGATCTTTGCATATAGGATTCTTCCACGGGACATTTGAAAATCAAACGGGGCATGGAACAGTTCTTTAGGCTGTGGAAATTTCTGTGCAGTGCAGAACAACTAGCATCCTTGGCCTTGTCTACGAAATCCTAGTTATGCCTGTCTTCTCACTGTGATAACCAAAACGTCCCCTGCCTACGTGCAAATGTCCAGTACTGCTCTGGCCCTGCCTACAGAATAAGGACCATGCTTTAATCTCTGGAGTAACTCCTCACACAGAGGAGTGTTTTGCCCAGGGAGGATTTAATGATCAGTTATGGACTGAAGAAGTTAAAGAGGCATCAAACAGATGGAAGGCAACAAAACAGTGCAGTGTATCAGAACCAGTTTGATATTGACAGCTGTGATAGGCAGAATAAAGATGCTCACAGAATAAATGCCCAGAATTGTGAATATTTTGTGTTACTTGGCCAAGAGTGAGTTAAAATTGCAGAAAGAATTTAAGTTGCTAATCAACAGACCTCAACATTTTATTCTGCCTTGTCTTATGGACCCAATTTATTAACAAGGGTTATTTAAATGTGGAAGAGGGAGGCAGATCAGAGTCACAGATCTGAAGATTTTCGGATGCTGGCTTTGAACAAGGAATTGGAGTCAGGAGCCAAACAGTGCAGTGGCCTCTATCAGCAGGAAAGGCCAGGAGAGCAGTTCTCACCCAGAGCCTGCAGAAGGAATGCAGCCCTGACAGCACTTGGTCCATTTCAGACATTGACGTCTAGGAGGTGAATTCCTGCACTTGTTTTAGTTCACTGTGGTTGTGGCCATTTGTTACAGCAGCACTAGAAACCAAATGCAACAACAAGAGATCTTCAAACATTCACCCATGGGAATTTTTCACTGACCTCCAGCTCTGAAATGCAGACCAATTTCTCCACATAGAAGCCCTTCCCAGGTTGTCTGTCCTGACTGGCAACCCGGGTTAGACTGTCTGGTGTCAACATGTAGGAGACCATAGCAACGCAGACTTCAGGGTAGTCTACTTTCAGTTGGCTCAAGTTAATTCTCTACTCTCTGCCTTCACAGGAGCAAAATTTTCCACATAAAGGATATAGTTGCACAATTTTTTTCCCTCTTTTTTTCTTTATATAAACCCATAACTACAAATGCAGGATGAAACCAATGCTTTATTCTTTTGAAACTGATTGTTTCTCGTTAAAGCACAGTTACAAGGATTCAGAAAAGAAAAAGAGGTTTGCTTTCTAAAATGAGATTTTATTGAGATGTAACTTATGTATAATAGCATTTACCCTTCTGAACCTTGCAGTCAGTTGTAGTACAGTCACAAGGTTGTTCCGTCAACACCACTCTCTGATTCCAGAACATCTCAACATGCCAGAAAGATGCCCCATCCTGTTAGTAGTCATTCCCCTCTCCCCTCTTGCAAGCCCCTAATCTTCCTATTTCTACAGATTTGCCTATCCTGGATATTCCATACAAATAGAATCAGACAACATGTGCCTTTAGTGTCTGGCTATTTCACTTTGCATGATGTTTTCAACATTCATTAACATTGTAGAATGATCCACATTTCCTTTTAATGGTTGAATAATATTCCACCATACAATTATATGTCACATTTGGTTCATTCATCAATTAATGTACATCTGGGTTATTTATACTTCCTAGATATTATGAATGATGCTGCTATGAACATATCTATACATAGTTTTGTGTGTACATATGTTTTTGATTCTTTTATAACATCCCTGAGATTGACAGATCACTATGTGGATTCTCCCCTCCCCCCATTTAGGATTCTGGCTCTTCAGGAAAACTTCCTTCTGCAATTTAAAATGGATGTAAGTAGCAACGCATCTCTATGGGGATTTATGTCTTTCCTTTTCCTCTATGGATTTGAAAAGAAGACAAGAAAGGAAGGCATCAATTTTTCTTACCTTCTAACTTATCTGGAGACTGACAGGCTCAGAGTGGAGTCAGAGGATCTTACGGGCCATTGGTTCAAAGTTTAGAAAAGTTGCCCAAGACGCTGGATGAATGGTACAACTGAAGTTTCATATTCCTGGGCTGACGTGTTTTCTCCACACAGGCTTGTTCTACTGAAGAAAGGAGGAGAGACTTTGAGAAAATCTTTGCGCACTATGATGTCGTAAGTGTGCCTCTTTATACTGTGCTGCCCCCCTGGAGGCAGGGCGCTGGCTCAGCCCCGTGCGGCGGTCCTCATGACCTCTTGTGATGCCTAGCAATCCCACACCTGTGTGGGCAGGTCCAGGTACCCTCAGCTTTGTTAGGTAACTTCTGACAGTAAGTAAAAATGGTCTAAAGGCAAATTTATAGTTGGAAGGAGAATAAAATCATATTTTTTCCTTCTTGGATCTGTATGAGGCAAAGTTCCTCCCACTTGTAGGACTAAAAGTCCATTTGTCAAAAAGCAAATACACACAAGAACCCCTACATCCAACCCAAAGAAACAGAGGCAAAGTCATACCTATTTAGCATAAAAACCGTTTCTCTCATGGGATCAATTATTTACATTAAAGGAGAAAGTAATGTTTCTAAAGCACAAAGTGTTATAAATAAATAAATTGAGTTGCTTGAGGACATGGTAGGACAATATAAGGAGGAAGAAAAATACACAGGAAATTGGGATGCCGTAAGAGCTCGCTCCCTAGATGTAGCCAGATTAGAGTGTTGCTTGGGAGAGGCAGCACTGTGTTGTGTTTAAACATGTGCCTCCATGACCAGATACTGAATTGCGAAACCTGGCTTATTGGCTGTGTGGCCCAGGAAGTTCCATCATCCCCCTGCTCTGTTTTCCTGATCCATAAAATGTGGGTAAGGATGATAATAACCCCTCCTTTATGGGGCTGTTATGAGACAGAGTGTGTGGCATTTAGCAAGTACCATATAAGCATGTAGTAAATGTGCCAGTGGCATTTAAAATTTTTTTTTTCTGTGCCAGTCATTGTGCTTGGCTTTTTTTTTTTTTTTTTTACTTATTTGACAGGCAGAGTTAGTGAGAGAGAGAGAGACACAGAGAGAAAGGTCTTCCTTCCGTTGGTTCATGCCCCAAATGGCCGCTACGGCCAGCACTGCACCGATCTGAAGCCAGGAGCCAGGTGCTTCCTCCTGGTCTCCCATGCGGGTGCAGGTGCCCAAGCACTTGGGCCATCCTCCACTGCACTCCTGGGCCACAGCAGAGAGCTGGCCTGGAAGAGGAGCAGCGGGGACTAGAACACGGTGCCCATATGGGATGCTGGCGCTGCAGGCAGAGGATTAGCCAAGTGAGCCACGGCGCCAGCCCACCAGTGGCATTTTTTTTTTTTTGACAGGCAGAGTGGACAGTGAGAGAGAGAGACAGAGAGAAAGGTCTTCCTTTGCCGTTGGTTCACCCTCCAATGGCCGCTGCGGCCGGCGCGCTGCGGCCAGCGCACTGCGCTGATCCGATGGAAGGAGCCACGTACTTCTCCTGGTCTCCCATGGGGTGCAGGGCCCAAGCACTTGGGCCATCCTCCACTGCACTCCCTGGCCACAGCAGAGAGCTGGCCTGGAAGAGGGGCAACCGGGACAGAATCCGGCGCCCCGACCGGGACTAGAACCCGGTGTGCCGGCGCCGCAAGGCGGAGGATTAGCCTAGTGAGCCGCGGTGCCAGCCCCACCAGTGGCATTTTTAAAATGACATATTGAAGATTCAAGATTAAGGAAAAATGAAGAAAATGGATGAGTTGTCATACCAGAAACTGTAGAGAGAGAAGCAAAATATCTTTTGTTTTTAGAAAAAGATTGTTTATCTTAAAGGCATAGTGAGAGAGAGAGAGAGAGAGAGAGATCTTTTATGAGTTGTTTCACTCCTCAAATGGCCACAACATCCAGGTGGGACTAGGCAGAAGCTAGGATCCAGGAACTCCACCTGGGTTCCCTACATGAGTGGCAGGGGCCCGAGCACCTGAGCCATCAGCTGTTATCTTCCTAGGTGCACCAGTGCCAGCCCCTGTGAGAATTAAAATATAGATTTTTCAATTCAACTATATTGGGGCCGGCATAGTAACGTAATGGGTTAGCCCACTGCGTTCAATACTGGCATCCCATATGGGCACCTGTTTGAGTGCTGGCTGTTCCACTTCCGATCCAGTAGAAGATGGCCCAAGTCCCTGGGCCCTTGAATCCATGTGGGAGGCCTGGATATAGCTCCTGGCTCCTGGTTTTGACCTGGTCCAGTCCCAGCTGTTGCAGCCATTTGGAGAGTGAACAAGTGGATGGAAGATATCTCTCTCTCCCTCTCTCTAACATTGGCTTTCAAATAAATAAATAAATAAAAGCACTAGGTCATCCACTCAATCATAGCACAAAATATAAAAAAATTCAGGCTATCTTTCAGAGGATCAATTTGATGTGTAATTAACACCTAAAACGAAGACTAGTATTTGAGTGGTTAATAAAGTCAGTGTATATCATGTGAATAATATTTGCAAGTGCCAGGGAACTCCATACTACTGGTTCTCATTTAGTTACATTGAATCATTTGCAACAAATTTTGTTAATTCATGTTGAACATTCACATCCTACATGAAGAACATACATTAAAACATGCCAAATCTGTAGTCCTAAGAGCATGCCGACTTGTCTATTTGCCTAATTTGTCATTTAGCTTTTTGACTTAAGAAAACTGCATTTGCTTGATTGGATCTGTGTATCTTTCAGAGCAAGACGGGAGCCCTCGAAGGCCCAGAAGTGGACGGGTTTGTCAAAGACATGATGGAGCTTGTCCAGGTGACTTCACGAGGCTGTGGGGCTGTTCCCATAGTGGCCTGGGGCTGGCATTGGGTGATTCCTTTGTTTGTTTGTGGGAATCGCTGAGGCTTCAGGTCACTACCAGAGAGGAGATCTAGGGGTGGTGGTCTGTTTAATAACCTTTGAGATTCTGTAAAACCTGACAAATCTCCCTTGCTTTCTTATAATTGTCTGAGTTTCAGTGACATAAAGCCACTATAGAAATATCTTTTTAGCCGGCGCTGCGGCTCACTAGGCTAATCCTCCGCCTTGTGGCGCCGGCACACCAGGTTCTAGTCCCGGATTCTGTCCCGGTTGCCCCTCTTCCAGGCCAGCTCTCTGCTGTGGCCAGGGAGTGCAGTGGAGGATGGCCCAAGTGCTTGGGCCCTGCACCCCATGGGAGACCAGGAGAAGCACCTGGCTCCTGGCTTCGGATCAGCGTGGTGTGCCGGCTGCAGCGCACCGGCCGCGGCGGCCATTGGAGGGTGAACCAACGGCAAAAGGAAGACCTTTCTCTCTGTCTCTTTCTCTCACTGTCCACTCTGCCTGTCAAAAAAAAATAAATAAATAAAAATAAAATAAAAAAAAGAATTATCTTTTTAGCATCACTTAAAGATCACTTATTTGACCAAAACAGCATGGTGCCATTGTGCATCTTATTGTTTGATTTTTTTGATTACGGAAAATTCTTTTCTCCCCATGGATTGGGTTATTAGAATAACTAAAAATTTCAATTTAATTTTACATAATAAATTTCATATTTGGGATTCCAATTATTTTATTTTACTTTTTTTCTTTAATCCCTAGCTTAAGATATGGCTGTGGTTGTGGATGATGAAATTTAGATTACACACACGTTTGTAGCACGTGGCTGTTTTAAGTAAGGTTGACAGTGTTTCAGGACCGTGGCCTTTGTCGCTCCCCCTCTTCGTGGAGGAACGACACAGGACCCTGCGCTGTTCTTTTGTCTGCTCGGCCCTCCCCGGGTTTGCTGCTGGTTCTTCCTGGGTTGGCTACCGACCCTTCCACCTCCGTGGAAGGGCGGTTCCCCCTGCCACATTCCCCACTTCCGCGGGGGAGCGGCACACCGCCGGCCGGCTCTCTCGGGGGCTGCACAGGTGTTCCTTCAGATAGATGTTACTGGTGCATGTTGTCTCTCTCCTCCTTTATAGTCCTCTTCCACCAATCCCAACTCTGCTACCCACACGCCGAGTACGCTGCTCTCCGCCAATCAGGAGCAGGTCCTACAGTTTATTGGTTGAACTAGAGGCAGCTGTGTAGAAGCTGTTTCTCCCTTCTCAGCGCCATATTGTGTGAGAGCAGATGCATAGAATAAGTCTTAATTCCAGTAGCTTAGTCTAGTCCGAGCTGCTCCCAGTTGCTCCCCACAGCCTTCTTTGCGATCCTCCCGAACTGTATTGGCTGCCTTCATGATCCTGCAAAACAAATACTTTCCAACTCCTTTTTTTCCACTGGGCCATGCAAGAACTGAATTCTATCCTCAGCGAGCTTTAAAAAGTTTTATTTATTGTCATTTGAAAAGCAGAAAGGGGAGTGGGGAGAGAATCAATCAATGTCTTCCATTGGCTGGTTCACTCTCCAAATGCCCATGACAGCCAGGCGTGGGTCAGACTGAAGCCAGGTGCCTGGAACTCAGTCTGGGTTTCCCACCTGGTGGCAGTGACCCAGCTGTTTGAGTAGCTGGCTGCTGGCTGCCTCACCTTTCAGCGTCGGCTTTGACAGGAAGCTGGAATTGGGAGCCAAGCTAGTGCCTGAGCCCAGGTGCTACAGTAATGGATGCATGTCTTCCAAGCTGTGGCTTCACTGCTGTGCCAAACACTTTCCCCTCAAGGGAGTTTCTGTGGTTTGTTCAGGATGGTGATTATATCTCGATAGGCCCAGGCAGTAACAAATTAAGAGTAGCAATGATTGTTTTTGGAGTTGCGGATCTCTTTGAAAATCTGCTTAAAACAGAAAAATGTTCAGAGGAAAATGTTCAGATACCAGTTTTTGGAGACAGGAAGTTCACCCTCTGTGCATGCATGGGCAGGATGCTTGCTGAGGTTCATAGGCGGGAAGACAGAGATGTCTTTCAGGCCTCACAACTTTTGTTATCTCTGCCCCTTCCCAGCTGGCCCCGGGCCGCTCTTTGCCCTCTTCACTTGCTGCTTCCAATGGACATTCCACAGGCACTTGCACAGCCAGAATAATCGAAGGGTGTGGGTGTAGCACTGCCTTTTACATTGATCGTTAAAGACAAATCCCACTGTGTTTGTTATCCGTTCAATGCTGTGTAATAGGAACTGAGCGATTACTGATGGAGATCAAAGTCGCCTGGCAGAAAAGATTTGCCGAAGTGGAGTTCGTTTGCTTCTGAGAGAGTAGATGGGATGGTGCGCTTGTGTTTGAGAGTTGCCTGCTCTGGGCAGGGGAGCTGGGGCCAGTGACTGCCTGTGCGTGACGTGGGGGCTTCAGATCCTAACAGAGCCGCAGGCAGAGGCTTGGGCTCCTGCTCCTCCCCACAGTCTGCACTCAAACCAAGAGTGAGTGTGGACGCCAAGCCAGGATGAGCATTCATCGGTAGCCAAATGCATCTTCCTTCTTTTGCTTTTCCTTTAGTTTAATTTTATCTCTGACTTTTGGGAAATAAATCTGTCCTGTGCTTAAGGTATCATTGTTGCTAAAGAACTTTTTTGGCATCTTGCATCGTTACCACAGGCCTGGGCTGGGGCTCTGCTGGAACCAGAATTCACCAGATGCACAGAATTTGGACCACTAGTTCTTGGTGGTGGCCATGGTGGCAGTGCCTGATCCTCCTGTTATGTCCCTTCATCCTCCCCTCCCCTCCCCTCCCCTCCCCTCCCCTCCCCTCCCCTCCCCTCCTTTCTCTTCCTTTTTCTATCAAAAGAACATTTTGGCAACTTTTTCAGAAGAGAGAGTATTGAATGTCATACAGCATCTTGGAGACTGAGAAATCTAAGCTTTACCTGTAGACCAGGTGTGTATCTGTGGGCAGGTTACACAGCCTCATTGACACCTGAGGCCTCATCTGTGAAATGGGCACCATAGTATTCACTTCCCCAAACTGTGTGATGTTGAGGAATAACAGGAATCTCTGGGTAACCTACCATATTTATGACCTCTCTCTGGGATACGGCATGACGTGAAAAAGGCAGTCTACATTATTTTATTAGGACAAAGCTGATCTTCCAAGTACATTTCTGAGCTTGAAAATAGCATTTAGTAGGGAATTCCACAAAACGAGTCAGCAGCTCAGTGTGCACCTGTACCTAAGTTCTAGTGAGCAGGCCTGTCTGAAATACTGGTGTAAGGAAAGCTAGTGCCCGAAACAGCTTCTAAAAGACAGGTGTGCTGTGGCAGGCAGTGACTGATTAATGAACTAATGTTTTAGAACTCATAGCTTAAATTATTTTGCTTCCTTTTCTGATCATAAAATTGTTCCTGCATATTGCAGAAAAAGATTGACAGTGAAGGCAGGTGAAGGTGAAGAAGCTGATGAGAACTCAAACAGAATCCAGGTGCTGGGCTCGCTGGCGTGGGTTCCAGTGCTGGTTTTACCTCTCCCTGGCTTTACCTCTCCCTGGCAGCGAAAACTTGGACAAGTCAGTTAGCATCCTCACCCTTCAGTTTTCTCACCTGGAAGATAGGAATACTCATATTTCGCCCTACATCAAGCTGCCAGGAAGCTTATAGGAGACAGCCTCCAACAGGCAATTCATATTGTGCTGCCCCACTAGTTACTCCCTGTAACAATCAGTTATAATTAAGACCTCAGCGACTGTTAGCTGTTGTTAGATCTGTATCACAGACTGACTGTGGGAACCAATGCAGCTTTTAGTGACCATGACCTTTCCTATCTCAGGTGATTATTCTAAGAGGAAGCCTGGATGTTGTATTTGGTATAATTCTGCTGGACTCTCTCTCATAAATCATCCTTTTGAACCTGGGTAATTGGAATAATTTTCAGTGATTCTGCCTTTCAGTTGTCAATGAGTCAGGCAATGATTTCAGATGGTCAGAAGAAGAGAGAAAATTCAGACCAGCAACATAGCAGACAAGACATTTTTCCAGAGAAATCTTAACGACCATCAGAAAAATTCTAGACCATCCAAAAGATGAGTTGGAAAAAGGGGGTCAGTCTCGCTTTGTGAGGGACTGATTGTGTCCCCAGCCCTCTATTTTTGTGGGGGCTGGTGGAACAGCAGAGACACCTCTCAGCGTAAGCACAGCCTGTGTGGGACAGCGTGCTCCTGAGGACAGAGGCAGGCTAAGGTCAGGAATGTGGGAACAGCTTGTAGGGGTTCCCCAGCTGATTTATGGAACCGAAAGATCTGCCCAGACTGCAGGAGCGGGTGCGCTCTGAAGCCAGATAGTTAAGGGTGTGCACCCTCCTCCTAGTCGTCATTGGATCTTTGTTAGTCTGTGAGGTTTCATAAAATGTGAAGTGTATTCTCAAAGGATGAGAATTTAGATTGGCTGAGTTTGACACTTCTTGACTTTATGAGTATCAGCAGAGTCCCCCCTCGTGGCTTGTTGCTATCTGTTTTCATTCAATTAGAGAGGGCCACAGGACAAATAAGCCCATATCTGGAATTTGTTTGAAAAGCAGTTCTCAGAGCTTGCCTTGGGTTTAGCAGGGAGCTGGCCCAGTTTCTCAGGTTGCGGTAGTAATTCTGAAGTAAGCTTCCTCTGTAGTCTTTTAATTCTTGGACAGCAATGTATAGTGACTGCTGTGTTTACTTTGCATTAAGAAAATTACTGGGTTACCGGAAGACCCCTTTCCCTGACCTCTGGAAATGTCACCCAGGCCTGCACTTGGTCAGCCTGACAGAAGGAACAGACACAGTTTCATGTTTAAAATTTATTTTTCATTTTATTTGAGAGAGAGAGAGAGAAAGAGAGAGGGAGAGAGATCTTCCACTTGTTGGTTTCCTCCCCAGATACCTGTAACAGCCAGGGCTGGGCCAGGCTGAAGCCAG